AATAACTTTATAGACTTTATCGATCTACCCAGGTCTCCATTCAAAGTTCCGTGGTGAGTTGGCGGACTTTCCTCCCTGGTTGGCCTTTTTGCCGACAGACTTCAGCGCCAGTCGCCAGTTTTTATTGGACCGGACCAGTCGCTACATCATTTCTCTATACGGATTCACATGGAACTTTGAACAGATCTTATAGTTGGGGTCAGCTTTCGGAGCCTTCGGGAGACGGGCAAGAGAACCGTAAATTGCCGCTTCGTCGCGCGCGGCAATGGGCGCGACGTTTCCTTAATTTGCACTACCCTTTCGATTGGAGCATCGGATTTCATGTAGACAAGGACATGGTAGACACTTATTCTATTTTGGTCATACATTGTCTATTCTCGACCAATACCACCTAAAATCGTCGTCATTAGCGGGCGCGACGTCGCGACGCCCACTGGAGCAGCGAATTACGATTCTCTTGCTACATACCGGAACTTCTAGAGAACTTGGAACTCGGAAACAGTCTGTCGTATCGACGTCTATCTTCCACAGGCCATCATCCTCTAAAATCAGGACTAGCCTCAGAGACTCAAGCCGCGACAACCTGAGAGTTTGGATTCTCGTGTATGAGGGGTAAAGGTCTTCAGCCACATATGGGAGCCTTGTTCGCCGCTGATGATGGGGCGTGCGGGGGGGGGGTGACTGTGAAGTAACACAAGTAACAGTGACCAATCCGTTTCTTTTTTTTTCCTGACAAACGATGAGACTGCATCATTCGTTCGTATCAGCCGTTTTCCACCACTTGTTGTCGTTTTTCTCCAGCAATTGGCACAGTACCGAGATGAACTATAGAAGAACGTGCGCCAAACTAAGCCCTACTGACAGGTCCCATTATCCGAACAAGACTGCACACTCTCTCCCTAGCCAAAAGCGCGTCGCATGAGTGCGATAGCCTTGCACTTGCTAGAAACCATACCTAAACCAGATTTATATGCCCATCGTCTTCCTTGCCTTCGTTAGTGCAGCTGCGCGGCTTTCGTCGCTGCCTGCGTGGCCTCTCATCAAGGACGCCGAGCGTCTCTGCGTCTCCATTCGCTGCATGCTCTATCAAGCAAGTTGTATTGAAGCATTCCAGACGCTCCTTTGCGGCAAGAAAATTGGCGCTTGAAAATTCTTGCTTTGACCCCAGTTACAACAAGTTGCAATAGCCAAATGTGTCCTTAAAGGCAGCGCCCACGTTCATTTGATGTTCCCGCGCCCTCTCTGGATATCATAGCCCTCCCTATGAGGATGCAGTATGTACTAGTTTTGCATCGAAAGGATAGCGCCGTTCGCTAGTGAAGAGTTGGCCGCCTCGCCCACCTGGCCAGCACAGGGTTCTATATAGGGTATTTTCCATGATTTTCCTGCTTCACGTATTATATGAGCTCCATAACTCATTATTCTTGAAAGCGGGCTCAGCCTTTAAAGGCTAAGCCAAAGCAGTTATGGCAGCCAGGTGGGCGGGGCGGCATCCTCTTCACAAGCGGGTGGCGCCATCCTCTCGTATTTTTGAGCTGCGAAATTAGTACATCCTCCACCCTTGTCGACAAAGCTACGATATCTAAGGAGGGCGTAGGAACATCAAATGAACGCGGACGCCGTCTCTAAACTATTGCTGTGGACGTAGAAGTGAATACGTTCTCACAACTAACATCTGAATTTGCAGGCCAGACGACGCGAAAGACTATCTGAAAACGGGCAAAGAACCGAGTGCCAAATCGTCGCCATATTTCTTGACAGGCACGAAGGCAGGCTCACGTGCTAGAAGTAAACTTTGGAACAAGCGTAAGACGAAAACGTTCGACGATCCAAGCAAAAGAAAGAACTTAATGGTCGCAGCAGATGATTGTTGTCCATTTACGTGGGAGTTCGAGAACTTCATTCAGAGTTGGTAGGTTATACGTTTTTGAAAGCTGCTGCATAGCGAATTTCCTGGCTTGATGGGACTATGGGTGGGGGTTCGGTCACGGGTCGTATAGAAGAAGGAAGGCGTGTGGATAAGCAGTATTTAGTGGAAAGTTTCCACCTCCTTGGTAGTGAGCCGGCACCAGCATTACCTCTCCGTCGCGGCATCGTGAGCACTAGCAGTACCTCCTAGAAAACTGATCATACAGATGAGAGTCCGCACTCGCCACGATTGGGGGATATTAGGGTGCGTTCATACTTTGCGGCAGCGTCCACCAGCGTTCGAGCGTCCGGCAGCGTCAGCGACTAGGAAAGCATAGATATCGATCTAGCGTCTGCCAGCGTCTACCAGCGTGCGCCAGCGTCTACCAGCGTCCACCAGCGTCTCGAGGGCTAGGGAAGTATAGGTATCGATCTAGCGTCTACCAGCACATGCCAGCTTCTACCAGCGTCCGGGAGAAGAGGGTATGGCGCGATAGGAGTGTAGCAAACAGCTGATGTCTTCCTATCGCGCCATACCAGCAGTCTGCCACCCTCCTATCCCCACATTCCACAAGCTGTCTGCTACCCTCCTATCGCGCCGCTGGCGCACTTCGGCGAAGAGGGGAGGAGGGGGAGGGGGCATTTTGCACTTTCGTTGCTTCACTAGTTCCGGTTTACAAGTCTCACTCTGGTGAAACCTGTGAACTCTTGTGAAGCTGGAGCAAGCTCGTCAAGCCATCATGGTAAAACCTGTCAACTCGAGAAGAGGCTGTCTAGATGGGTCGACACGTCGATAGGAAGTAGAAAAAGTGCAAAATGCCCCCAAAGTGTGCCCGCGTGCCTCTCCTCTCCCGAACGCTGCTCGCTGGTGCACGCTGGCAGACGCTAGATCGATACCTATACTTCCCTAACTCTTGAGACGCTGGTGTACGCTGGTATACACTGCCGCTAGTAGACGATTGAGGACGCTGGCAAGCGCTAATCGATATCTACACATTCCTTGTCACTGAGCTGCCGGATGGTTTGGAACGCTGGTGGACGCGGTTGGTCACAGGTGGACGCTGCCGCAAAGTATGAACGCAGCCTTATTGTTGCATCTGTCTACGAAGAGTGAGCGGGTGCGGAAGTGTAACGTACCCCACGGAAGAAAACCGTGCATATATCGAGCTAAGGAACAAGCGACCGGGGTAAAAAGCGTCACAGAAATATGAGAAAGAGAACTGTATGACTGCAAAGGGACATCTTCGTAAAGGCGAGTAAAAGGCAGACGTAGTAAAAATTATAAGTTCTCCTGACGGCTGTATTTCATTTCAGGAAGCCAAGGAACAAAATAACCTACCATAGATACAGCCTATTAAAAGACGTGAGTAACGAGTTTTTAGATTCAGCACCACTTCCAAAGATTACAAAAGGGGAATTTCCGGCAATTTCCGAACCTGCTTATGTTAGGGGTTTCGCGAGTTATGGTGCTGTGCGAAATCGAGTAGGAATCTGCGAAATCGAGTTCCCTAATCTCTCTCTCTCGGCTCGTGCGCCGCTCTCGCGTATAGGTCAGATGTTCAGGAGTTGACATGAGGACGGTTGCCAAAGGGCAGCTGTCCGATGGGGTTTAGCAGTGTTTAGGACTTCGCGACCGACACGTTGCAGCGCGTTCGTTAGACTTACAAGACTTCTGTCAACCGGACATGCTCTCGCTGCGAAGGTGCAGAGGTATTCTCTGATTGCATCTACCGGTTCAGCAGTTGAAGGGAGAAGGAATAGGAAGAGTGATGCAGGAAGGAAGGGCAAGAAAAAGAAGGCAAAGAAGGAAGAAAAAAAGGACGAAAGGGTGAGGAGAGGTACGCCGTTGAATGTATCCTAGTCGGCAAGCTTTTTGGTGGAGCTGATATCTGTTTTTTGCAAGCGGAAAACTACCCCAGTTCATCTCAAGACTTTTCGCTCAAAAGCTGGCTGGACTCTCGAAATGTGGGGCAAGAGGTGCCGAGTATGAAAAGCTTTCTCGTTCTCCTGGCACATAGCCTGCTCCCAGCGAGCCTTCGTGCACATAGACAACTTACTTCAAACCGAAATAAGTGACGCTCATTGATATCTCGTTCACAAATATAAAAGTGGAATGTGTGGCGCACCCAAGAAAAAAAAAGACCGGCGTTGAACCTTAGATTCTTCTTATTTGCCGTTAGATCAGGTAATCCTATAAAGTCCATTCAGAAATCGCAAACGACTTTGTCAACGAACAACGGGTAAATATACCATTACCAATCGTTCTCCTAGAACTTGGCTGAAGCTTGCAATGGTCGGGTTTTATTCCTGCAGGGCTTTGCCCATTTTAATCTTTGGTGTTTACAAACAGGTTCTGGTGGGCACCGGGTGCGTGTACCGTGGGACCGCATGAGCTGTCCGAATGTTGCTAAGTAAACACAAATAGAGCCTCTGTTAAAATTTTAATTGCACAAGGAAGTCGGTAGAGTCAAACTCTCATAGAGAAGCCCTCAAAAGCTCCCTTTAAAATCGGTTTGAAGTGGATAATTTTGACGCGGCGCTAGCCCGTTTTTTTCCCTTTTTCTTTCTGCAAGGGATAAGACTGTATGATATGATTCTTTTCCACAGTTTTTGTGGCATGCCCGCTTCAGCAAGTGTAGGAAACAGACTGGCGCCGCGCCATACCCAGCCTCATGGACACGCCCCATCCAAGCCGGACAATACTCTATGTCTTCCCGACGATTTGGTATCTAACTTCTTCAGCGGCCAGAGTATTTATAATAGGAGTGATGAATTGACGAAACAACACTTGAATTGGCTCCATCCGGGTCTGTCCTTGCTTTTACGGTCTGTAGTACCCCCTTAGGATTGTACACAGGTCATGGGAAAGTGGGTACCCTTCTAACCCACAGGGAAACTTCAGATCGCTGAAGGGTTGATCAAGGGATGCCTACAATATCAGCGGAACTTTGTGTTCTTCGGTAGTTTAACAATTTGTTAGTGCCAGGCTCATACTTCCGCGTTTGTCGGGGCGCACGCAAATGAGTACTCAACGGAACGTTTTGTACAGCGTCACCTTTGTGGAAACCCGTAAAATCCTATGATCAATGCGGCTCGCTTCGCAATAATTCGCACTTTCACAAGGGAGCTTTACCGAAGTCCCTGTGCAGTTGACATTGCAAGAAAGAGAAGGAACCAGCGAATATTGCAAAATTCCCCCTCCAAGCCCATTTTCTGGTGCCTATTTGTGTTATTTGCAACGCACCTGAAGTCTGTTGTTGGTACGGTAATTATGTTGAAGTTAGGTTGCGTATCTTGTTTTTTGAATGTTTAAAGATAGATGATAAGAAAGATAAGCTAACTCATTTTTGCTGAGGATGAACGGTAAACACCTCTGTCGTTAACTCTTCTCTCTCATGGCGTCTACATTTTCCAACGGATTCCGGTAACTTTACAAAATATTCTTCAGCTACACTCATACCATGTACCGTTGGTAGCATGCTACTTCGCGAGAGAAGAAAAGATAGATTATTTGATCCCTTAAAATGGGGCGCGGGAACAGAATCGCTTAATTGTGCTTCCTTAATTTACACTGGCACTCATACTTTGGAGCATCGGATTTCATGTAGACATGATGGACACTTTGTGTCTATTTCTGGTTATACCTTGTCTACTCTCGACCAATACCACCTAAAATCGCAGTCATCAGCGGGAGCGACGTCGCACGCGACGCCCACGAGTGCGGCGAATTACGATTCTCTTGCCACATAACCCCGAACAGAACTCATGAGGAGGGCCTAATATGTATCTACAGTCCCGTTCGCTGAGGATGCTCGATTATGTCAGGAAGGTTGGCTTTGGCGCGGCGCCAGCAATTATTCAGCAATTGTTGTAACGGGTGTAGAAGGTGGTTACGTGACATCTAGAACTTTTGATGGTGGTCCTGTTACGATACCCTGTGACGAATAGAGGGCAGCGGCTGCTCCAACAGCATCGAAACGTTGCCAAAAACGTATGGCGAGCCAGGAAGCGGGACTTTGCCAGGGAAGTGGACTCCAGGGTGGGTGAGCCACATATCATGTGTGAAAAACTGGAATATGTGAGGTCACAATGAGCACAGAATGCAACAAGGACGAGAGGGTGCAGAGAAAAAGAGATGTTCGACGCATTCAAAGGGAGATTAAATTTCACATGGTTGTCCGCAGACCGTTAGTGGCACTGCCGCGCCAATCGGCCCCTTCGAAACTCCCACTATTCAGCCGGCCAACAGATTTTAACGTGCAGCGTGGCGCGCATCTAGACAAGCGCTTTTGAATGAAGTACGTGGATTAATTACATTATATCATCTACTTCAGATGAGGCTCGACCCCTTGGCGTGGAAGTGGAAGACCTGGAAACCATACGTATCAACTTCCTCCTTGGATCAAAAGGTGTAAGTAACCACAATAGTAATTGATATATACATACAGAAAAAGTTAAAGGCAGTTGGCACGATAAATCCCCAAGACGAGTAGGATTAATACGCCTGGCAGGACGGAATTCCGCGACCCTGAGCAGGCGCTGCATAATGCCTTTTCCAAGGGAGGTGCCCTTATAAGGGCCCTATCAGGCCACAGCATACGTGACCCTAATGCCCGCCCGCCCACAAGATGACGACCTGACGGCTCAATCGATTTCATTTCTGGCGCGCAAATTATTGACGCGAAGGATTGCGTATTATGCGGCCGTGATACTGCCATTGGATATATGATGTACACATATGCCCAGCGTACTTTGGTAGCGGTTATTGGCAGGATGCTACGAGAAACTCGTCCGAAATCGATTTTGAACACATTGAGAACGGAGGCTCTTTCTTCGCAGGAATTTTGAATCGTTCACTCCCATCTCTTTCGCCATTTCCCAACTAATTATAGCCTCCCTTACTAGCATTTCAGACCGAGCACCAAATCATCATGCCAACTGCCTTTAATGACACATTTTGCGATTGCTATTCGTGTGCCGCGGAGTCTATTTATGAATTCGTAGACGTATTTGTTCTTTCACTTTTTTCTTCTTTTGAGGGAGGAAGTGTACAATATCGTCAAAGAAGCTCTAAGTAGGGCCTGGACAAGTGTGCGGAGCAGCGACACGCTGCTGCGCAAGAGAGAGACCAGAAACGGAGGACGGTAGAATATAAAGGCCACCTGAAAAAGGGAGGGATGGCGAGCTGATTCTAACTGGGTGAACTCAGCGGTTTATAGAAGTTGTATTGCTGAAATATGGTCCGAAATGGGTGAGAGGCGGGACGCGCTCCTCCAAGGTTATGGGCTCGTAGCGTGTTCATTTTCAGCCTCAAATATGGGACTACGGAGCCGACTGGGATAATTTGAAGATCTGAACCTAAGTAGCGCATCCATCACTCGCCTTGAAACTGTCTTAAAGCGCGCATAGGCGTTGAAGCTACAACACCTAGAACCATCAAAATGTGTTGAAAATCTAAGCTAGATGCAATTTAACACTCTGAACGCAAATATTGCATTTTCTTGACGCCTGAGTGCTCAAGTATTACACCCTGTTTGGGGCCCACCTGTCTCAAATATGTTGCATATATGTATAGCCGTTTTCGCTGCAGAGGCTAGGACGTGCCAGGAGGGAGGGGGGGGGGGGGGAACGCGGCGCACCCGACTTCGACCAGTTGTTGTCGCTTGGTCGCCTCAAGAAGTGGTTGGGAACGGACTGGCTCCGCGCCACCCGCGCCGCTTGGCACGCCTTAAAGACAGCCCCCGCGCTCGAGTAGTACATGGTCGTCCTTCCTTGTGCAAGTAGTACAGCCCCCAAGCTTCGACTCCACAGCGAGCGAGGAGCGAGCTACAGCTGCTGAAAGTTCTAGTTCTAACGCCCGCCCAGCCTTACCGCCCACTTGCTAGATGCCCTCTGACGGGGAGCCGCTCTTGGGGCGGCGGGCACTAGGTGGAATTGCATGCCCTTTTGCTGACCGCGCTCGTGCCCATGAATGGTTCTGCTCTCCTTTATTACATTTTATTTATTAGGAGCACATACAGTCAACTCCAACCCATCTTGCAAGGTAAAACGCGTAAAAATCACGAGCGACCCAATTTTCGTGGTGCAAAAGCTCGACGCACCACACTACACTAAAAGATGCACGCTACCGTAACCCTAAATTCAGACGCCTAGTTTTTGGAAGTTTCTTTTCCTTTTCAAGAGTTTTTCTTCCGTGTTTTTGTTTTTTTCGTATTCTTTTCATTGCATTGGATGATACCCACTACTGGGAGATGTGATAAAGGAATTTGTGAGCCAGGGGTTGCACAGAGACCGCAGGAAGGTGTGACTGCCAGGGAGCAATTTTGTTTAGTGTTCTTGACCTCTCTTGCTTTTTTTTCTTCTTTGGGGAATTACTTATCAGCTACTGTTTCATAATTGAAAAGCAACTATCCATGACACTTTTATCGCGGGAGCTGTCTTTAACATCCGCAGCGAACAAGATAAGATCGTAGAGGTGTCAGTTATAGTTGAAAAGGATTGACAGCTCTTATGCAAGCTTTCTACAGATTGAATTGGCATACGCCTTTGCTGATTACACGGCCACAGCTATACGAGATGTTATGCAGTTGGAAGTATATGACGGTATGGATCCAAGCAAGCTGCAGCTCAACGTCGTCAAAGCTCCAAACTGTCGCGCACGTCTATAAACGTTAGTTATCAGATACATAAGGTACACAAACCGAAATAGAATTAAAGGCAAAGCCCGCGACCACAGATTGTGGGTAACGGAACCCACATAGGAACGAAAAAGGGCTAGGTATCTGATTAGCGGAGAAAAGCAGCAGAAAAACAGCCGAAAATGCCCTAAATAGGATTCCATATCGACTCCAACTTGTATGCACGCAGTGAAGAAAACGCATGTTTGTACGAATTTCCACTCGTCGTTATCATAAAGATGTTCAGCTCTTTTTCGGTATCACCTACTCTCACATCGGAATGGAAAGCAGATTAGCAATAGTGCGTACTAGTAGTACTGAGCAGCTCGCCGCGGGGTCGGCCATGGGCCTAGGGGCGCCTTATGGGCTAATTTCTTAGCTTAAAGCGAAATCTGCCTGATTTTCACTTTCTTAGGCAGCGTTCATAGTTCGCGACAGCAGCGGCGATCGCCGCGATCGCCGGCGATCGCGGCGATCGTCGGTGCATGGCAGCGCGCGCCCCAACGCTATTGTGAATGCTCGCCTGATGAATAAGGGAATTCAACTTGTAAGACCTTCTTTACTCTTAATAAGGGCTACTAACAGACAAACTACGACCTTCTACACATAAGCAGATCTGGAATAGAGGTAAGAAGGTTTCACTTCCTTTTAGGTCGGGGTAAGACCAACTCCATTTCCTGGGTGAGCTTCTTTTTTGTTTTTATTGTTTCAACTTATGCATGCGCCTCAGGAATTCCTATCGTCTAAGCTGTTCCAACTTCCAAAACATTCATAGTTTACAAGTCGAGTTCAAACAACGAAGAAAAAAAAGAAATAGAAAGAAACTCTCCTAGGAACCAAAGCACTAATCATTTTACGCGACATCAAAAGGTGAAAACTTCATAAACCTCATGTACAACCTCGACGAATGAAAAAAGAAGCAATAAAAACGTACCTCAAGTGAAGCTCTCGCGCTTTTTGCTCATTTCTATCCTAAATAATAAAGAAAATAGAAAACAAAAGCGATTAGCTGGGCTCGCCTTCCCTTGTGTCAAACCAAGCTTCAGTACCTAAGGAAATTGCAGTCAAAGGAAAAAAAAGCATAAAATTGAGCCGCTTACCCCCAGAAGCTTTCGGAGCGCAAGTAATAGCGTTGGGGCGCGCGCTGCCATGCACCGACGATCGCCCCGGCGATTCGCGGCGATCGCTGGCGATCACGGCGATCGCGGCGATCGCTGGCGATCGCGGCGATCGCCGCTGCTGTCGCGAACTATGAACGCTGCCTAAGGTAGCGCAGCCCCAGTCTCTTCTGATCGTGTGACACAGGTTGAAAGCGCATACCCTTATTTTATCCGGAAAGTGCTTTTAATGTCAAGTCAGGAAGGCTTCTGCCGCGCAGGTCGGCTTCGCTGGATCATCTGCGATTTTCTCATCCATCGCAACCAGCCTCCTGCAGTGATCTATTAATTATCCAGTGAAGCTGTGTAATGCCCAGGCTTTGCTTACGCTATTGCCCCTATTTCAGTTTTTAACAAAGTTACTCGAGATACTACAACAAATAACTAAATATTCGAATACTTGTCTTTCGATGCTGAGATCCAAGGAAAAACAATGAAATATCGGCCTCGATTCCGCCGCTCACAAACATTCTTCAAAGGGAAAGGCTTCTGCAAAAAGACGGTCTAGCTAACAACTATCACCAACCTCAAAATGGCACGCCAGACAAACTTGTTCGTGAAGCTTACGAAGAACTCCGTACAGGATCTTGGGGAGCTAATGGCACAGCACGATGGCAAGCACTAGTGGAATAAAAATATTGGAATAGGGACAGCAGATGCCAAATGACGCGTTCATGAATGAGACCACAGTAACCTGCAAAACCTCCCAAAAGAGATCCTTCGTTGTTGAGAATTGTACAAGTTTGCTGACTCTTCACCAAATCCCGTACTGTGCCCTTGAAGACATTAAGCAGGATGAATCGTTACTGACTAGTTGCAGGGGTGCTACATGATGGGAAAAATGGCGGAAAAACGAAGATTAACGGCCGAAAATCTGCCAAAAAACCTTTGTTCTGCACGGCATGGGCGAGCATTTCTAGACGCATTTTCCTTGGCATCGTCAGCAATCACTTAATAGATGGAGCTGCACATACTCATACATCCATATAGCAGCGCTCCATATCAACTGTACTACATCAGAAATGAAGCGATAAGTGTACCAGCTAGATGTGACTGTCCAGCCGTATGTAGGCGGTACGCAGTGCAGCTGGCTGGTCGGCATGTTGCACCTTGGCTAGGCGCTATAACGGTGCCCTTGGTCGGAAAAGAGCCACGCAGCTCCTGCTTCGGGTCACAATATTCCTCCGTACCAGCTACTTACCCTACACGCTTTGCGATTATCGCGCTTCCTATGACTTAAAGACACGTCTGATAAAAAGCAAGGTTGATGTTTGCAGAGAAATGAAAAGCAATCGCCAAGTAGACCGGTCCAGAAGAAAAATAGCCCAAGCGAAACTTTGGAAACGTCATTCGTCAGGCCTCTCTAACCTCAAACGACTGTGGAGGTAAAAGACCGAAGAGACCGCGCGCTGGGACGATTCCCGACTTGCTGAATCTCAGTAATGAACCTTATTACTCTTACAAGATAATGAATGCGTCCACTCCATGATGCTTGCCGGAGTGCATTACTTTTGCTGGAAGGCCGACTAGGAGCGAGGCGGGTCTGAAGACGGAGACACTGGAAAAGGGATGGTTTAAGACGAGAGATGGCAAGGGTCGGTCCTGCACAGAATGAACGCAACTGGTCACATCAGCGTTTATAGTCATAGAACCGCTGAAATATCTCGTCCCAGACGAGTGATGCTTCCTGTACGACCCAGCCTTCTTTCGGGTTATGAAGGAATGCGAGCCGTAGATGCCGCATTCATCTGGATTGCTCTCATCACTGACTTCCGAGCTCAGGAACATCCTGTTAGACGACGGAGCCAGACTTCTGGTGAAAAGAAGAGATTCTACCTAGCAATGGCGTATTGTATATTCGAGCTTATGGCACCCTTCTCACGCATTTTCAAGTGATGGCAGAGGGGCATCATAGTGAACCGTGGACATGTGCTCTTAGGCGTCGTCCACAGTTCAGGCAACGAATGGCGTATCTATGGAGACAGTTGCGAGGGGGGAGCAACCAATGATGGAAACGCCGCAGGTGCAAGCCACTGATTAATACCCGACAATTGCGGTGATGCAAAGTGTACTCTCCTCTTGACGCAGCCGTCTCCAGGTGTACTCGGAAACACCCCATTCTGTCGTCAGATATGAACTATACCTATAATTATTAGGTAGTCGTGCAGTGTGGTTTCAATGATGCAAGCAGCTTCGATATGTATTAATTAATTAATATGTATTAATGTCTTGTCATTAAGGATCTCGGAACTACGAACATTCGGACTGGGCAAGAAGCAAGACTTCAATGTTTATCAATAAGAGATTGTGAATGTTTAGAACAAAAAAGCTAATTAAAGATAAAACTATAAACATTAAAACGGCTCCGAATGATGTCAATGACGTTGGTGGGAATGGTCGCCTTTGCTGC